AAGCTCTCCATCCCCCCCTGGATTCTGGAGACAACCAACAGCGCAAAACAACAACCCCGATCTGTTCTCAGCGGATGAACTGATGGACATTTTCGTCAACATGTCCGGTGCTCTTCGTAAGTGCCGCAATAAGCCCGAACAGATCCAAGTGCTCGGTAAGTTCATCATCCAGTATGGCGTCTAAACCGCTAACTATCGTCACCTGGAATGCTTGCTCTGTAAGAGCAAAAAAGATTGAGCTTGCCGACTTCCTCCGCAAGCACAGCATCGACGTGGGCCTTCTAACCGAGACCCATCTAAAGTCCGGCGACAGCTTCTGGTTGCCTGACCACAACACTATCCGGCTTGATCGCACCAGCTCCAGGGGGGGTGGTGTTGCGGTCATCGTCAAGAAAGGAATAAAATACCACACTCTGTCCCATATCCGCACCTCTATCATCGAGGCCCTTGGTGTGGAGGTGGAGTCGTCGACTGGATACGTCCAGTTCATCGCCGTCTACTGCCCTCGACAGTGTGCCGCCAGCAGTGGACTAGCGGCTAAATTCAAGAAGGACCTTTCCACCATCACCCGTAACGGTTCCCGCTTCGTAGTAGGAGGAGATCTGAACGCTCGCCATGAGGCCTGGCTTAACTACAGGCAGAACCAGAACGGTCGTCTGCTGTTCGACCACTCACAGCATGGGCTGTACTCCGTTTGGTTTTCGGATGAGCCAACATTTATCTCACCGGCGGGCAACCCATCGACGCTAGATCTGTTCCTGACAAATATCGGCTTGTCCAAGCCGGTAGCCTTGAACGAACTCAGCTCCGACCACCAACCGGTGGTGTCTGAACTGGGCTGCAACGTGGCTCCAGCTTCAAGCCTGCGCAAGGACTACCATCGCGTTAACTGGGCCCAGTTTGGACGCGTGGTAGACAGGCACATCATCGACAACCCGCCGCTTGACACCGTGGAGGACATCGACCGAGCGTTGGAGGGACTCCACCAAGCCATAACCGTGGCTGACGAGGCGTGCGTCCGACGAGTTCCCATTGATTCCCACACCCAACTTTTGATTCGCCTGAGAAATGTTCGTAGACGCCAGTTTCAGAGGACTGGAGATCTGGGCAAAAAACGTGAAATGGCCGATCTGAATAGGCAGATTGCTTCCAGAATGGACTTACTCCGAAATGAAAGTTTCGGGCGTGTTGTCCAGAATCTGGGCGACCACTTCAGACCATTCTGGAAGGTAGCCAAGGTCCTGAAAACTCATCCCTAACCCGTTCCACCTCTCAGAGTCGAAAATGATGACGATCGGCTTTTAATCATCCCACAGGAGAAAGCAAATGCGATCGGCAAGCATGTCGCTTCATCGCATTTGCTTGGCTCGACTATCCAAAGTCCGCTCGATGATCAGGTTGCGCAATGCGTTCAAAACCTAGATGCCTCCCCTTGTGTCGTGCCTCCGACGGATATGATTACAGTACAACAAATTTGCTCAGCGCTGAAATGCACCAAGAATATGAAGGCGCCCGGGTTTGACGGTATATTCAACTTGATCTTGAAGAGACTCAGCATGAAAGTGCAGGCTCTTTTAACCGCTATCTTCAACAGATGTTTGGAACTGCACTACTTTCCAAGCATCTGGAAAGTAGCAAAAAGCATACCAATCCACAAACCCGGAAAGGATCCAACATTTCCTTCAAGCTACAGACCAATCAGCCTCCTTTCAGCGCTGAGCAAATTCTTCGAGAAACTCATTCTCAATCGTTTGCTCAAGTTTGTCGAGTGTAGTATCTGTGACATGGTAGTAATAAAATGAAAATTTGATGAACCTTCATTTGGTGTGAAGTCGCCAAAATGTGTTTGGAAGCACTGTAAGTCGACATACGAAATAACTTTATGTCCTGTATGCGCTGAGGTTGATTGAACTTGAGCTTCGGAAATCTCCAAATACACGAATATGATTCGTGTTATGAGAATCGATGTTCGGCTTCGAAACGAAGTGAGCATAAGATGCAAAGTAAGCGAGATGATACGAATAATTTGAATAAGGCTTAGGGTTGGAAGAGTGCGACACGATGTGTGTCCTGGTAATCGAGTTCGTTCAGGCTGACTCTTGATTCTGTAAACAAGTTTCAAAGCGGACAGTTGCAGATTTTCATCGCTGGAGAATTTAGCAGGCACCGCCTTAGACGTGAATTATGGAAGAGGCTTGAAACCTTGACCAGTTCACGACATCGAGGAAAACAACATTCTCCTTCCGGAACAGTTTGGATTCAGAAAGGGGCACTCCACCAATCACCAGCTAGTGCGGGTGATGAATAACATCCGAAGTAACAAAGCTGTATCCAAGTCCACAGCCATGGCCTTGTTAGACGTTGAGAAAGCGTTTGATAATGTCTGGCACAATGGGCTTGTATACAAGCTTTGTAACTTCAATTTTCCTTTGCATCTTGTTAAAATCACCCGTAGCTACCTTCAGCAAAGGTCGTTCAAGGTATCGTTGAATGGCTGCCTTTCAAACACGTTTTCCATCCCAGCAGGAGTCCCGCAAGGCAGTCTGTTAGGCCCCTTGCTTTACAGCATTTACACTTCCGACATTCCTCCCCTCGGAGACGGTTGCGTGTTTTTCTTGTTCGCAGATGATACCGCAATAGCCGTCAAGGGTAGGATGCCTTGCGAAATAACGAACAAACTTCAACGATGCCTTAACGCCTTTGCTGATTATGCCACCACGTGGAAAATCAAAATCAATGCTTCCAAAACACAATCAATCATGTTCCTCCATCGGCAATCACCCAAACTAAAACCGGCTCCATCTTGTACTGTAATCATGGATGGCACAAGGGTTGAGTGGTCCGCCGAAGTAACCTATCTCGGGATGTTGTTCGATGAAAAGCTCCTCTTCCGTTCGCATGTAGAGAAAACTGTAGTCAACTGTTCTACCTTGGTTAGGTGTCTGTATCCGCTGATTTGCCGCAGATCCCGCCTCTCAAGGGTGAACAAACTGGCCGTCTACAAACAAATCATAGCACCTACGATCCTCTACGCAGCTCCGGTGTGGGAATCATGTGCACATACTCACAGGAACAAAATTCAGGTCGCTCAGAATAGAGTGCTGAGGATGGTTCTTGATCGTCCTTTCGACACTAGAATAACAAATTTACATGAAGAGACAGGCATTGCCAAAATAGATTCCAGAATTAACGAAATTAAAACTAAATTTGCACAAAAATGTAATTTATCAGAACATGCTTTAATAAGTAATTTGTATATAGTAGATTAGGTGTATGTAGTAGTTGTAGGTTAGTTGTAGTTGTAAATAGTAGTTATAAGTAGTCTTTTTTTTTCAAATTTAAAACAAACCAATCCCACCAAGGTGGTCATTCTTAAAACAGGCCTGATAGGACTAGGAACTGTAATTAATAATAATTGAAATTTCAAAGGAATTAAAGTTGAAAAGACGCATCTGTGTCACTTGATAAGTTATACATGTAAACCACACAAATTCAAGACATATAGATCATGTAAAGTCAAAAAAATGGCATCAGCTCATTTTCGATTCGGACGGCGCTGTGAACAGCAATTGCAGCAATAGGAAGGTGGTGGCGAGTCCACTGCTTCACACCTAACAAGCAACAATTGACTGATCGTGGCAAAGGAGGAAAAGGTCTGGTAAAGGAGGCGCCAAGCGTCATCGCAAAGTTCTTCGAGATAACCGCCATCGGTCGTCTGGTACGCCGTGGTGGTGTCAAACGTATTTCCGGTCTGATCTACGAGGTGCGCTGAAGGTGTTCCTGGAAAATGAGGCCCGTGATGCTGTCACCTACACTAAACACACCAAGCGTAAGTGGCCATGGATGTCCTCTTCAATAAAACGGCCCTTTTCAGGACCATCAAGCTTACATCAGTAAAGAGTTGGAATAGAATTTATCTGTGCTTGTTTGTCCATATTCAGAACCACAAGCCCCCAACGACCACACAAAATGCTCTCCAGAGTTGTAATCTTGTAACCAAACTTGGAAGCAGGGGTGCAAGTGATTTTGATTGATTCTCTTAATCAACTTTCTCTTTGAAAAAGATTACTACAAATTTGGTACGCCTACAATTCAAAAACGGAAAGAGTTGAGATAATAGATAATTGTTCAATTAAAAGAACTAAATGCTCTTCACATTTATTCCGTCCACTAGCGGTCCTACGTCAAGCTTCCGTACGTGCCCCTAGGCACAGACCCTTCTACTTTTTCGAACTGTGTAGCCCATACAATCCAGCACATGTTCCAGACACATCTCCAGAATCAGTCTACCGGTTCCTAAAATATGACATTGTTACACAGGTACACACACGCACACAGACATTTTCCGATCTCGTCGAACTAAATCGAGTGATATATGACATTTGGCCTTCCGGGCCTCACATCAAAAGTCGGTTTTCCAAGTGATAGGTAAGAAGGGTAAAAATTGTATTATTTTAAAGGTGTCGCCCTTTTTCCGTTCAGATTTAAATCTTCACACTCGTCTTAGTTCCTCGAAGCACATCTAGATTATGCCCAGGTTCAGAATCAAATAAGAATGATTGTATGCCTAAGGTGATTGCGGGCCCTATCTCACGCAAATCATAAAACTCACAACTGTTTGCTTAGCTCGTATCTTATTTGCGACATCTCTTGTCAGTCTGCAGCAATTCCGGAGAAATGGCCTTGAATATATTTTTTGGCACTTGGCAAAAATCTCTTATCATTGAAACATGACGCACTGAGGGCCTGTTCGTAAATAGCGTAACGCTCTAATGCAGAGAGGGTGAGGAGTTTCTGTAGCGTCATTTTCACTGTATCATCTGCAGAAAAAGGGAGGATGTTGTCACTGAGATTTGTTATGCGTAACGTAATATGTCAACAGTCCTTTCAGCAGTTTAATTTATGCCACTTAGTTCAAATTTTCGTCATAAACAAATTACTACCTCTAGCTACTATAAAAGCCCCAGCAAAGCACATTTCATCTCAAAATATCCGTGAAAATGGCCTTCCAAGTGTTACTTTTCGCTGCGTTGCTCTCGCTCTCGGTAGCTCAACTGGAAGTGCCAGGAAAGCTAATACGTAGTTCATCATATCAATCAATAAGTCCATTGGCATTTACCTTGATGTGCGACGGTGTCAGCGTGTATTCATCGTGCAGTGATTGCAACAACGTATTGGTGTGCTTGGGGTCAGCTAGTGCTGAGAAAAACTGCAAGGTAGCTTCGCCGAGCACTCCCTTCTGCGTGGACGGTGCCTGCTCTGCGACGCCAAATACTGCAGACGGATGCTTTCCACCTTCGTTGACCTGCACCGGTGTTGGCTTTTACCCAGGTGAGTTACGCACATGACGATGTTTCAATTTAAGTAGATTTCATGCTTCTTCTCCTTACCCCATCAGATCCCAGCAATTGTCAAATCTACCACTACTGCGAAGGAATCGATCAGGATTCGTCTGTGTACGAGTGCGCCCCGAATTACGTTTACAATGCTGCAACCAACCTGTGCAAGCAGAAGGTTTACGCCGCGGATTGCGTAACGGTCCAGTGTGATCAGCGTAAAGTTTTCTCCAACTATGGCACCAGCAAGCAGTACTTTGCATACTGTGAGTTCACAGCGGATGTTGTGACGAGCATCAGCATGCTGCAGTGTGCGCCCTATTCGAACTTCGACGGTACGTCTTGCGTTTTCACATGCCCAAAGGCGGGTAATTTCCAGCACTCGGATGCCACCAAGTACTATCAGTGCTACTTATCGGGAGGAAAGTTTGTCTATCTGGTGCAGAGTTGTACCACCGGTAAGAACTTCGATCAGGAACGTCAGGTATGCATTACGGCACCAGCGACGACGACTACTACAGCGGCTCCATAGAAATGATGGCATTTAGTGTTAGTGGTATGAGCATATAAAATTTCGGCCTCCAATACTGGAGCTGGAAAATCATTGAGTTACAGTTTATCCGACAAATCCATTCAGCATGTTATTTTCTGTTTTTGATCTTCAAAAGTTTTTACAGTATGGATTCAATGTTTGCAACAGAGCAGTTCCACGCCAGCTGACGAATCGATTTCCCCTCCACCTCTGAATTCCGTGATTCTTCGCATAGTTGTTTACAAGGTGCAATGAACCAAGTTTTTGTCGGAATTCGACCATTTTGACTCATGCGTAATTTTACAAAATGGCTTATTCGATGTTTTAAAATTCACCGATCTATTCGAAAAGACGTTTGAGATCAAGTTGTAGGGAACTGGATTGTCTTTTTAGCAAAAAGAAAACAAACTGAAATCACAAATTATCATCAAAAAAATTAAAAAATGGGTGGGGTTGTGTATAAGACACGACCGCATGGTTGACGTAAACTACGTCAAGCTGTGTAGTGGAATTCTTGTGCATTTTTCTAGATAGTGATTTAAAATACAGTAGAAGTCACCTATGATTTTTCTCCTATGTACATATTTTGGGTATTTGTACATATTTCCTACTTAGTAAAACTTGGTTAAATTCAGGACCTCATAAAAATGCGAATACATGTTCTATTACATTTGGTTCCTACATTACAATCAGAGTAAGGTTTTTTACCAGATGATTCATTGAAGCGTCCAATGGCTGATGGCTGATATTCCCTATCACTTCAAGATTTCTAGGGCACAAATCTTGGACGGTTGTGACATCACACATGAAATTGAAACTCCTTGTGTACTGCACTGCAGCAAACGTGTAGATCCCTTTCTTTGTTATAAGTTTTATGAGAGCTGATATTTGTGCTCTTGAATTTTTTGTGTGGTAATGAGATTGATCAGAAATAAGGTTTCCTCAGCGATTCAACTTCAAACGCTAAAAATAAATGCACACACAAAAGCGGAGTGCCCAGCTTTGCACCAAAGTTATGCAACATTTCGTAGTTGATCGTGAATATCTCGAAAAGCCATAGATCCCTCAAATAAGTTCTCGGTACATCGGAAGTTTTTTTTTAAGATTTCGTTCGCGTTTTGTAGACGCACATTCATCATTTGGCATAAGAACACTGGACGTTTCTGTGGTGGTAAAAAAGTGACTTCCATATCTATCACAGATTACAAATTCGATCGACGAATCGACTTTCTTTCGGATGGTGATAAAAAAAAGCTAAGACAGATAATTTCTTTTGACAAATTTCCCATGGAAGGTAATTATTTAAGCTTACTTGCAAAAAATTTCTACGCCCTTGCGAGCGGCCTTCCGGCAGTTGACCGGAAAATTCGCCATGGCGGACGAAAACATGCGTGTAGGCATGTTTTTGAGTTCTTTCTTCGTTTTATTTATCAATTCCTCCTAATTTTTCGTGAAAAATTGTTGGAGTAGATCTTACGCTTCAGGCCCAAAAATTCTCGATGGGACGCAGCTGGGGGACGTTGAGCGGGTTCGCCGACTTGGGTACCACATCGATATTCAGCCGCTCCATCTCCTCCAACGATCGCTTCGAGTAGTGGGCCGACGCCAGATCCGGCCAGAACACTGCGTCTTCGCCCTTATGGTATTTCTTGCTGAACGACGCAACTTCCGGCAGGCATTTTGTACTTTAAATTTCCCCGTTCACGGCCAGTCCGGAGCGAAAGAAGAGCGGCTTTGACATCCCCTTCTCGCTGATTGTCAGCCGCAACAGCACCTTCTTGGGGAACTTGGGGTGTGAAATGAACTTCACCTCGGAGCTCACTTCCTTCGCGGGGGAAGTAATATACGAAGTGCCCTGCCAGTCGTTGCCATCCAGGGTGAGATAGGTCTCGTCGTCCATCACCACCGCCACGTTGCGATTCGCCGGGAAAAACCCATCTTATTCAGCCACAGTTGACCATCTTATTCAGCCGCTTTCGCTGCGTCATTGCCTGCAGCTCCGAAACCAGTGGACGTGACTTCCGCTTCCTGGCATGTATGTTCATGTTCGCCAGGTACTTTTTCACTGTTTGGCCGGTTGCACCGACCTCCCGGCCAAGCGCACGCAGCGATGTAGCCACTTTTCCCTCGGTCTTCCTCTTCAACACCCTTTGGAGCTTCTGATTGTAGTCTAATAGTGCCAAAATGTTGAAGATGCCGGAACGGGCGTATCCGGCGTCCACAAATTGCCGCACGATGTCCGTTTTCGACGCGGCGGGGTGCCGTTCTTTGAACGCGCACACTTCTGAACGAAGTTGCTTCACTGTTTTTGCCTGATAGAGCTGTCAAATTTTGTCTGCTGACTCAAATTTTGTCTGTAAACCCATGAAAAATCGACAATTTTTGTCCCGGTTACAGCACTACTTTGAAAGTATATCAGATAATATTCAAGCTGAACATTGCATTAGGTCCTAAGTAACATTGATTGATTCACTTCGTCGACTTTCTCTTTCGTTAATAACTTGAGCTTATAACCGTTTCTTGTAATGTTTGTCGTATTAGTTGCTTCTTTTATCGCTATGTATGCTGAAAATACCTGGGAAGATCTTAACATAGCCGAGGGTATACAAGGAGAAAGTCAACGAATAGAATCTTGTCAATGTTACTTAGGACCTAATGCAATGTTCAGCTTGATTTCTTTTCGCTTAGCTGTAGCAAAGTTAAGAGATGAAGAGAATCGATCATTGCAAGTAGGCCCTTTCAACGGCGCCGGTGGTGTAGTGGTAAGCGTGATTACCTCTCACCCCAGCAGGCCTGGGTTCAATCCCAGTCGGCGCCGCCGGGATGTTCTGAGGCATAACATCTTTGATCACGCCTTCCTTCGGATAGGAAGTAAAGTCGTTGGTCCCTGGTTCATGAGTTGATGGGTCGATAGGTAGGGTCCAGGTGTGGGAGCTGCCTTCCTGGCACGTCGGTGGCATTGGTGCTCAGCACGGAAAACAAGATCGACAGAAAAAACAAACCAAAGGAAAAAAAAAAGTAGGCCTTTTGAACGCTCACTGTCGAATTTCAGTACCTAGCACTGAAAAAAACATTTATTTTTGCATTACATTAAATATATTTTTATTCAGTTGTTTTGTTTTACCATAGTTTTACAATGTAAGTGATCAACATTTGTTATTTATTCTTTACTAAAATTACTGAAAGCCATTGGCTTATTTTTGCTAATTGGTATTTATCATTTTACAGTGTGAATATTTGTTCTATTTTAAATTTTTAAATTTTAAATTTCCTATCTAACAACATTAAATCCTAACTAAACATACTATTTACAAAATTATGGGTACAGATTTTTAATTTTTTCGTACTCTGAATTTAGAGTCCTAGTTTGGTGCCAACTGGCGAGCGCAGTCATTCTCTGGTCGATTTTATTGAGATTTGCCAGCTGATGAAGGTCGGCTATCCGTGTGCGCGGAGGCAGATTCAGAATCATCTTCAGGAACTTGTTTTGCAGGACTTGGAGCTTCTTCCGATGTGTTTTAGCGAAACCTGTAGACAGCCAGCTTGTTGACGGTGGATGCTTTCGAGCGACGGTAGATGATCGGATACAGACGTTTCAGCATGATGGTGCCTTTTTTGACTCGGTATTCCACGAGCGACCGGAAGAGGAGCTTACTGTCAAGAATCAGGCCAAGGTAGCGTACCTCGGGTGACCACTCAGTTTCAGCGTTCAGAACCGGAGAATCGCAGATAGGCACACCGTCGATGCATCTCAGAAGTAGATCGCCAGCGACAACGGAATCTAAACACAACAAGAAGAAGAAAAGGCATGACAGGAGCAACAAAACCTCACCCGGCCGACAAAGCCCACCGCTGAAGAAGCCCGTTGAAAAAACACCGACATCCGACCAGGAAACGATAAGCGTCGACGAGGATGAGATCGAAGAGACGCCCCCTAGTCAGGATCTTCGATAAGATTCATTCCTCCAAACGTTTACCGACCAGCAATACTTACCGGACAAGCGAAACGGACAACGACATCGATCGACTTGAAGGGAGGGAAAGTGTAGTACCCCCTTCACTCTCACAGGAGAGAGCGCAGCAGGCTGGAGGATCCATCCGGGACGTCTTACCCCAACCCGTTGATGGAGAATCCCCCTCTGCGGTCGATTATGAAACATTAGAGCAACATACCACTTACCTACCTACCATAATACCACCTCGATATCACTCGCTTAGATCCAATACACCCATATGGCCATTTTCCAACGAAAACAGCCGTCGGCATGTAGTGCCAATCGAAAATCCACCGTCAGCCAACACTAGCTACCACAACATTGTGAGTGCCACCGGCACTATTATTCCTAGTAACCGGTTCAGGAATTTTTCCGCCGGTGAAGTTCGTCGTCAACAGCAAAGTCGAGATTCATCTCCACCGTCAGCATTACTGCAACAGACAGTATTCCGAAATCGGTGTGGGGAGGGAGAGCGTGAAGTAACCTCCCCCCTTCCCAGGAGGGAAGTGGATGTTCAGGGGGACGAGAGTGGGACCAGTCACGAGTGTCTTGCACCCTCTGTTTCCTCCTGGAATCCGGCCGATATGTCAAGTCCAACGCGTAGACCGTCAGCAGCATCTTCGTCATCAGCAACAGTCAGCAGTAGTCATCCCACGAAATGTATTGCCCTCCAGTGGAACATACGTGGTCTACGTGCCAACATCAGCGAGCTCAAATTGCTCATCAGCCAGCATGAACCGTCCGTTATAGCGCTGCAAGAGACGAAAGTGGATAATCGTGTGGTCGCGCCAGACTTTGCCGGCAAGAACTACACCCTGCTTCTTCAAACCGGTAGTCGTCGATACTGGCAGCAAGGAGTGGGCCTTGCCATCCGTGAAGGGGTTCCATTCGAGCGCATCGATATCAATTGTGATATTCAAGCCATTGCAGTTCGCATCCATCTTCCGACTCCAATGACGGTAGTGTCGATCTACATATCTCCGAACTCCCAGCAACAGTGCCAAACAGAACTAAATGATT